TTGTCTGTGAAAATGGGCTACCCCAAACCCAAATAACCCAATGGATGTTTCTTATTTATGGCTTTTCCTGTTTATTTGGCTATGACTGAGGGGTATACGCTCCAATAAAATTCAATAGCTATGGAAATCACTCTTTCTACTAGGACAATCATCTATCAATGGGCCATCTATACCATTGCTATGTTAGTTCACCAGAGGGTTTATACATCCATATACCATTCCAACTAAGATTTCAACCCTGAGAATCACTACTTTTGAAAAGGGCTGTTGTCTTCCCCTGTTTGGCAGCTGGGATGATTCCGATGCTTCACCTCATTCACCATGATGGCTTCACTTTGCGGTCACGTCATACCCAGAACTCAACTGTGGTTATAATATATAAGTTAGACATAGTTGGGTAGATTATATCTCCCAAATTTGGGATATAAATCCCCGTCTGTACTCCAAGGTGGGGTACAGTCCTAGAAAAAAATCGGTCTAAAATTATGATCCCTAACCTTTGAGAGAGGTTTTAGAGCTTTAAATTCCTGGCTCCTAACCTCTGAAGCCGAAATCTCACTTCCAACGACCTTTTTGAATTTTTTTTGCTAATTTCCTGGTGCCCAACGTCCAACATCCAATAAATTTACCCCTCTGGTATCCAAGTAAAAAAAATTATTTCCTGGATGCTTGCGTTGGTAACATGCCATATCTTCCCCCCCTCAATCTGATACGGAAAAAAAGAGTTCCTGGCACCTGACTTCCCGGCTGACAGCTCGCAGTTTTTCAGAGTCCACGGCTTCACGAGTGCGGTCCGGCAGATGCCCACGGCAATGCGCAACCCTTTTGCATGGACAAATGCATCTTCAGGAAAAAACGCCTGTTTTGCAATTTGGCCACACGTTGGAACAAAATTCTTCAATTTGTCCCATCATTTCCTATCTATGGATGGTTGACCTGGTGATGCGATTTTTTTCCTGTGGGGCCAGCCTTTGAAGATCATCCACAAGAATTCGGCCAAAAAAAGGTCCAGCCCCTTGGATTTTATTTTTGACACCTGCGCCTCGGCCTCTTCAAGTCACCTTTTTTTGGTTGGTGAAGCTGAACATATGTGGTTGTACCAAGGACAAATGTATTTTCAGAAAAAAAACGCCTGTTTTGCAATTTGGGCGCGTTGACACAAAATTCTTGAATTCGTCCCATCATGTCCTATCTGTGGATGATTGGCCTGGAGATGCAACTTTTTTCCTGTGGGCCAACCTTTGAAGATTATCCGCAAGTATTCAGTCAAAAAAAGGTCCAGCCCCGTGGATTTTATTTTTGACACCTGCGCCTCGGCCTCTTCAAGTCACTTTTTTGGTTGGTGAAGCTGAACATGTGTGTCTGTACCCTTTTGCAAGGACAACTGTATTTTCAGCAAAAAAACATGTGTTTTGCAATTTGGGCGCGCGTTGACACAAAATTCTTGAATTCGTCCCATCATGTCCTATCAGTGGATGATTGGCCTGGTGATGCGACTTTTTTCCTGTGGGCCAACCTTTGAAGATCATCCGCAAGTATTCAGTCAAAAAAGGTCCAGCCCCTTGGATTTTATTTTTGACCCCTGCGCCTTGGCCTCTTGAAGTCACTTTTTTGGTTGGTGAAGGTGAACATATGTCTTTGTACCCTTTTGCAAAGTCATGTAAAGAATCATGCCCACTCAATTAATCATGGTACATTTTTCCTGGTGTTTGACATTTAGATATGTTCTAGTAAACTCCCATTTGACCCATCCACCTTCAAATTCCTGGCTAATAACCTTGGGAATTCTACAAACTTACCCGTTATCAGAGTCATTCATGATTGATTTCCTGATGCCTTACATACACAGACTGATAGATCAACCCCCCCTCAATCACAACAGGCAGAAATTGATTTCCTGTCACTGTATGTCAGGAAGCTTTCAGGAAAAAAAATCTGGGCCTTTTTTGGTATGATATTTTATTCCTGGCCCCATATCATGCCCCGGGACCCTCACCCACTGTCTGCTAGATTTTTGGAAAATAGTGTTTTTTAAAAAGCGTACTGAACCCCCAGGAAAAAAAAACTGGTAGTACAGAGGAGGATGATATAATATGATATAATGATATAGCCCTTACAACAAGCCGGTTATAGCAAAATTAGTGAAACTGCGCCCCAAAAAAGAAACACATCGACGTCACGTCGCCCCTTTTTTGTCGAAGCCAGGGGACTTCAGACCTTCGTGGTGCATTCCAATACCCCTCCTGGACGATGGGAAGCTAATCAAACGTCAGGCTTTGTAGACATCGAAAGCCTAGTGATGCCTAGTGTTTCAGGAATCAGATCGTCTATATGTTTCATGGTTTCATGGTTGATGTTGATTGAAAAGTCTTCTGATGTTTGCTGTTGTTTGACTCAGAAAGCCAACCATACTTGGTTTTGCTGGGATTTTCACTCGAAATCCTTTTTTTGCCCAAGAAAACAAGCGCTATCGGCCAATCTTGGCCCTGCATGCACATTACTCTAGGATATGGTTTGGAAACTCCAACTGGCTCATGCAAAATAGGGAATTACCCCAATCGCTCCAAATCGCTGAAGATTCCCCCCCCAAAAAGGTGACCGTCTCGAAACACGATGGTTACCCGGCCTGGTAAACGTTTACAGTTCGCGAACTGGAATTCATCACGTTTTTTTCATAGGTAAATCAACGAACTATATACCCTCCGGTAAACTAACATAACCATGGAAAATCACCATTTTTAATGGGGAAATCCACTATTTATAAATGGCCATTTTCTATAGCAATCTGTTAGTTTACCAGGCCGGGTAAGAATTGATGGGAGTTGATCAAAAAGGTCGCTCGACGACTTGACCGCTGTAGCTCAACACGGCGAGTTACGTGGCTCCATCGAAACGTGTCAGACTAGCGTTTTTTTTACCCAAGCAGAAGGAACGCAGTGAATGGAATGGACTATTTCTGAAGATATTGATATTATGTAATAATGTAGTATAATATAGTTATACTATATATTACTATATAATATACTACTGTAATCTACTGTATAATAGTATTATATATTGGGATGTGCACACATGTCCAATGAATCTTTCATCACCTCATCATACGGGGGTAGCACGATCGAGCTATCCCACCCCATCTGATCCTTAGGCCCACAAGCATCCACTTTTCACATCCCTTGGCAGCTTTGCTGATCTCGTATTCGATATCCTGCTGTGGAAAACATGCAATGTGCGAGTTGCGGGTGAGTGGGGAACACGGAAGGACTATTCTAAGGGGATGTGAGGGAATTGATCATTCATTGGTACAGTTTGATGATTATTTTATTTACATGATATATATTATACATACATAATATATCATTGGATGATATTGTTTGGGAATTGGCAATCCTCGCTCATAAGCCCCATACATCATCAGAACATTTCTCTGGACCGTTCACACGTTGATGTGATGGGCAGCTGCCATTGCCATCATCCCAGTAACCAAGAGCTTGAGGTTGGGGTGCCATTGGGTTTACCAAAAGTATCTAAAAGTTAGATTAGTTGGGAGGTTCTTGGAATCAGACTAATCTAACGTTAAGTAAACCCAATGCCATCTCAACCAGTCCGGAGGTTTCTAGATTAGTTGGTGAAATCTTGATCCACAGCCACGTGGAGGAAGCAGAATTGCTCACTGTCCATGGCAAAACAACGGAACCGCCATGTTGCATGGTGCTACCCACCTGTGCATCCCTGGGGGGTTCTTAAAGTGGGGGATCCCCAATAGCTCAATGGCGTAGAATGGAAAATCCTGAAATAACAGCTGGATGATTTCGGGGTAGCCATATTTTAGGAAGCCCCCATATAACCCAACTCATAACTATATTGCAGAATTAAGATCAGGATGCACCCCCAGGGCCAAGGTTGAAGGGATTAAATGTTTGTAGAGATTGCCCATTTGGTTTTCTCTCAGCACCGGCTTCTGACAAAAAAAACTGTGGTTTATGATGGTTTTATACTGGCGAAACTTGTCCAATTTGTGGACAAACAGATATCTGCAAAGCATATCCGTTTGTGGAATCTCATCAATTCAGTTCCGTACGAGGTGGAAACCCCGTTTACGATAGCAAAGTTGGCTTCCAAGTCGCTTGACCGTGGTTCAATGTAGATACTCTCTGCTAATCAAACATGGCTAGCTGGGGAAATCCCCCTATGAATGGAAGGTTTGTAGCTGGGAAAATCATCTATAAATTACCCTCTGGTAATTTAACATAGCTATTGAGAATGGCCATTTATAGTGGATTTACCCATCAAAAATGGTGATTTTCCATAGCTATGTTAGTTTACCAGAGGGTATTATAAATTGGGGACTTTCCATTGCTCTGTTTGATTACCGGATGGTATCTCTACTAGTTCATGAGGCTTTACAAACAAACATCCACCATATCACCCCTGCTGGTGGCCCTTCGCCGTCCTCTTGCCCTACACCCAGCGCTTTGGCAGAGTGGAAGGTGAACTGGCACGGAAAGGACTTTCTTCATCCCAGTCAACTGGAAAATTTCACTCCTGTGTGAATCATTTACCATCTGGTAAATTAAGATGATGACCCTGGCAGATAGAGGTTGGAAGATTGGTTTCTATAAACATGGCTTATTCTCAGGGTCTATATATTAATTTACCAGAGGGTATATATATATATATAGTTTGACGGTCAAACTTTGACCATATATAAAATCTGACTCCGGTTCATGAATGAACTGACTAACCCTACTTATACAAAATGCTATAAATGGGGTGAAGTAAGCCACTGAAGGAACCAGGGCGATCCTGGTACCATGCGGTTCGATCATCCCCCGAAATATGGCATGTTTATTTTTGAGCTTTTTGACCTGTGGATGCTGCCCACCCAGTTTTAAAATGATGTATAATCCCCTAATCAACCCTAGTGGCCCTAGTTATTGAACTCATTTGCACCAACGTTCGCCAGCGATTTTTGGCCATCCTCGGTTTGCGTTTTTTGATCACAAAAGCTGGGTCGCCTCGTCGTCAATCTCATCCGCAATATCCTGGCAATCTTCAATGGAAAACACCCCGATTTCATGGGAAAATCGATGGTTTCTGGTTAAGATGTTCCCGTAAACTCCAATGATCTCCTGGATTGTTCACATGGAAACGATTTTTGGTCGCTGGACATGGGCATGGTTGGAGCTTCTTCAGCGACGCTCCAGGATTTCAGGGATTCAACATCCGTTGATTTCCGCAATGATTCCAGCACAGATGTTGGTCTGCCTCCCTCATTTGACACATAAAAGATGGTACATCACCAATTCAACAAATAAATACCCTCTGGTAAACGTTTATGTACATAGATATAGAAATTCACCATCTTTAATATATATCAACTATAAATGGTCCATTTTCAATAGCTATGTTAAATTACCAGAGGGTAATCTAAACGTGGCAATTGTCCATAGCTATGTTAAAGTATCATGAGTATGTTGCGTACTGTTTACTACTTGTTTAGACTATCTTTTTGGTCAACTGAGGGTCTAGGTACTTCACCATGGATTTGTGCGTTTCCTGAATCCTGCCAGAATTTGTCTGTAGGATGAAAACGTGGGCCGGAAACGCCGGAAACTTCCAGATATCTGCATGATTCGCTGTGATTTCCTGGAAGGTCATCATACTTTTTCGATAGATATCTCTCATTATGTCCGAACTGTTGGTGATATTCCACAGTTCACACATTTTTTCTTGGTCGCTTCCACTTTTGCAATGATCTTGGAGACACATCACCTAGTCTTTGTTGGTTGCATATCTGCTCCCGTATCCAATCAGCTGTCATGAATAACCTTTGATACCCCTCCAGGGGGTGGTTAAGAAAAAAATCCTGCACCAGTTGATATGCTGGAAAAAAAGGCTTTCAACCATCCAAGCTGGTGCATTTCGCAACCATCCACAGTATGATCCATGTCATTTCCTAAACTTAGGATTTAAGTTTCTATAGTTCCAAAAGCCATGTATAAATAATATAATCTACCAGCTATAGATGATTTTGACAACTAGAAACCATGTCTAGGCCAGGGGGATCTTCCGGCCACGTTTGATGTTCAAGGCTATTCCAACTACCTGAAGAGGTTGCCACAGTTTGGGACTTCAACCGGCCTACAGTATAGTGATGAATTTAAAGATCTACACAAAGTATTCATCTGTGGACATATGTTGCAAATATGTTGTTATATATATATATATATGAAATGGGTATGATATGTATTATGTATATGTTATTATATGTATGCAACATGTGTATGCAACATGTGTTTGAAAAGATGGTATACCCTCAGTTCAGGCAATTCTCATGGGAAAAAAGCACAAGGATCAAAACGATCAAACTTTAGGGTACCGTTTTCTTTTTAAACGACCTCAGATCCTGAAGCAATTATCATCAATCATAATTCACCAATCTGAAATAATGCTGCTGATCTTCTCTTTGCCCCGCAAACATTATCTGAAATCATGCCATTGAAGGACATTTAAGGGGATGATGCCCCAAGTTCTATCCGATGTTCCTATCTTTTCTCAACTGAAAGCCATGCAATAAACCATCAACGCGGCGGTCCATGGGCTCGACTGGCTCCACCATCATCAAGTCCTACATGACGAAACCATGGGGATTTCATGGCTGCTTCATGGGGATTGAGCGGGATTCAGATAGCTGTTTGCTGGTGCAACTAGCTGGGCCGCCCTGGTTTATGGTAGATGTAATATGTCATATTATCCTCCAGTAAATTACCATGACGACCCTCGATGACGTCATCGGGGTTGGTTCCCACTAATGAAACCATATGAAACCACTAAAGATTGGTCAGGCTTTCAGGGTCTAAGGTGAACAAACATCACAACAACACCACCTTGTAGATTGCATCATTTTGCCCAAGTCTATTTGTTTTTACCCTCTGGTAATTTAACATAGCAATGGGAAATCACCATTTTTAATGGGAAAATCCACTACTAATGGCCATGTTCAATAGCTATGTTAAATTACCAGAGGGTACACAATTTCAAGCAATTTGTTGCCCTGTTTACATCAAAATAGTTGGTATTCACGGATGTCAAAAAATATCCGTGCCTTTGGGATATTCGATCACGGTCGTATTCCGTGTGCTATGTGAAATTGCCATATTTGGGGTGAAGTAAGTCGCCATGGCAGAGTTACACAGTTCAATAACAAACTAGATTGTTGAGTTTTCGGTGAATACCATCCCAATTCGAAACTGTTTCCATTCAGAAGAAACACAAAAAGATAGGTCTTGACCTCATATCTCAACATGCAATTTTTTGGAATCTTAATGTGGTGTTGTCCCAAAAATGAAAGCGACTCCGTTTTCTATTGCCAATTTAACAGGAAAAAACAACCGTGGGATTTTAAGAATACCATTTCAAACACATACTTGGAGGCATATATTTCAAAACATCTGCCATACTCGCCATACTCGATAATTTTTCGGAAGACTTGGTCAAGAAAGTCACACTCTCACACAGACCCTCAAGTTGACCCTCAAAAACTTGGAAAGCTATATAAAACTCTTGAACTTATGCTGTGAAAATAGGTAAATAATGGTAAATACTGGTAAATACCAATTGTTATGGGTCAACTGCAGAATCCAGCGATTTTCAAACAGCAAGATCTTCCGCTTCGATAAAGCTCGGCCGCTTTAACACTGGGGATGCCACTGCAGAGGTGTCGGCCGCTTCGGACTTGTTTCCACCACGGCCTCCAGATCTGAATTCAGTGGTGGAAAAATATATACAAAGTGGGGCCTCCAAAGGATAGTTAAGTTCAATGGATTGGTTTGTAAAGTTTAAGGGAAGATCTGAAAACCGGAAACCCTCGATTTTCCGATATGAGGCTTTCCGGTTTCATTTTTTCCCTTAAACCAATAAACCAATCCATTGGTAAGTTGGTGAACATAGTTCCGATACCTATATTCATGGGATTTAGAAGCCATTTTCAATGTGGCCTAGCGCATATGTCTGATACATATTTAATGCATAATTACTCTTAATGAATGTATATATAAATATTTGGGCAAATTACAATAATTCACTAACCTGAAATAAGGCCATGTTGGGATGATTCCGATTATTAACCATGATTCCAGTGAGGTCGCAGTGAGGTCGTTATAATTTCCCCAGATATATAATATCAGCCAATCTGGACCATGAAAACACAAACAAATCATGTATACCTGGGGAGCTCAATTCGTAGCTCCAACTGGATCCCCAGTCACAAAATAAGGCATATATATAGTGTATAATATATATATATGTATATATACATAGAATTACATAGATAGCTCTATCTCCAAGTTGCTCTCTCCAAATCACTGGATACAAGCAATTCCATAATTTTCCAGTTTTCAAAACTGGGGATTGTTTCAAATTCATTATTGAGTTTAGATGGCTTTGCCATATTCACCTTGTTCTTGTATGGAACCCTATACTAATCAGAATTTGAGGATACCATGGGATAGTTTGCTAGGATCTGAGACTAGATTCTTGGATTTACCATTCTCCACACACCATTTCTGAGCAGCATAGATACCCGGAAATATGGTAAACCCAATAGAAATATGTGGGATTTCCAATTAGTAGTGCTTAACTTAGCTTAAACCCAATATGACAATATGGTTAAATTAGTAGTGAATAGGGATTTCACATGATTTAACTGAATTTAACCACAAAACATGAAAACCGGAGCATAAATTGTACTTCACCAAGATACATTCTTTAGCAAACATCAAACCTTTGGCGCCCACAAATTTTCACAGCGCGACTGGATACAATTTGCATTGAAATGCTTCGAGGTAGTGCCCCCTAGCTAAAAGTTGGTGAATGAATCCCACTAACAGTATGCTATATGGGTATGGGTCAATACCTATAGATACATTTTTAGTGGGATGAACATCCATTTACCAACTATTTTGATGTTCACCAGGGGTACAAGGTTTTGACACACTGCCATATGGAAAATCACTACCTTTTCATAGGTAAATCAACGAATGAAATGGGCCATCTATATTATACAATACTATACCATAGCTACGTTAGTTTGCCAGAAGGTAGCCTAAGTTCACTTAGCTACTGTATAAACCAACTTAGCTATCATAAACGGTCCACCTGAAAGATATCGATATTCAATACCACCTCTGGTTATATAACAGTTTACTATGGACAATCACCATGTTTAATAGGTAAGTCATGAGTCATGTATAAATATACCACCTATACCATAGCTATGTAACAAATAACCAGAGGGTATACCATGATATATCCCATTTTATCCCATGGAACATCCTAATAAATGCCATGGAAAATCGTTAGTTGATCCTTCAAATCCAATTTCTACTTGTATGCGCATCCGACTTGATAAGAGGCTTATTCATGTGTATATATATATATACATATATATATATGCAACTTATATAACCCATAGAATCCCATGTGCAAGTGGGGATATTCCATACATTTCCATACTGGGGGTCTGCAAAACCCATTTACTAAGTGGGATGCACCCCCAAAGTTGAACCAATGACATAACCAGAGCCTTCGTTCTCTCCGGACGCGCGGGCCGCTTTCGATTCTTGCTTCGCACTGGCTTTCATCTTCTGCGCCTGAAAAACCACCATGAGGCGGCACTTTAAATGTGTATTGATCCATATGGGCTATGAGTCAAGTCATTGGGTATGGTTTGGGACCCAGACAATTCCTCACTTCGCTAAACTTGAAGGGTACGGTACTTCACGTTGACCAATTCCAAAGTGACCAATCTTGAGATGTATAGCTGGCCAAAACCGCAAATGATCCAGAGAACTAGGAAAAAATTGGTGAGAACGGACTTGCGGATGCAGTTGTGCTGCTCTTGAAGTAGTTCATTGAAACTGACCCCAGAAGTTAAGATATCCCGCAATTATTGTCCATTTAGCACCTTACAGTATTCCGTGAAACTGCGTATGTCCAAGAAAGGTTCGAATTGAAGGATTGAACAATAATTACTTTTCTGCTTTACAATCTGTGGTCGAAGTCATCTGGCTGGTGGTTTCAAACCCCTTGAAAAATATGCTCGTCAGTTGGGATTATTCTTCCCATTATATGGAAAAATCACCATTTATAGTAGATTTTCCCATTAAACATGGTGGTGTTCCATCGTTTTTTGTAGGTTTCCAACTGTTCCAAACCACCAACCAGTCAAAAAATGTCCCTTCCGGCTCAAAGCACTCAATTTCAGCCGAACGCGACGACCAAAGCGTGAGTTTGTCCATGGGTATCATTCCAGAGGTTCCATTGTTCCAATAATAACTTCGAATTACCCCAGTCCATTGTTGCCATTCCATCGAAAAGCCATGGTTTCCCTCTTTTTCATGTATTCCATGTCCCTTGTGGCTGGTATTTGTGCTGACAACACCCCAATTACCCAATCATGTAGCATAAAAAATCCCAGCAGCATGGGCGCAACATGGTTACCCAGTGGTAATCAAACATCAACCTCCATGGATACTTCGAGGATCATATCATCCCACACATCTCAAACAAAATCTGCTTTGGAAATCCCCGATTTGTGGCTGGGTGAACTAAGTATGGTTTCTACCCCTAGTAGTTTAACATGGCAGGAAATGCCGTCACAGGGAACTTCCCAAACTCAATGCAGGTCAGGAAAAACAGCTGGATTCTGCCATGTGAGTGCCAGAGACCAGATACTCCAAGTCGAGATTCCCATCCATTTCGAACCATGGCCGAAGCTCCAGAATTACGATCACCAGATAAATATTAATGTTGGTAAAACAATGTCAGAACCCATCCCCAATTTTAGCATTTTTATAGGTGGTATCGTTACCATTCGAAGCAATGGGTGGTTTATTATTATTATTTTTCACATTCATAATTTCTCCGATAATACATGAGTCATAAGTTAGGATCACCAGATGTATATATATATATGTATATATATATATTATATGTATATATTAATATATACAATATGATATATATTATTATTATTGTTATTATTATTATTGTTATTATTATTATCATTATTATTATTGTTATTATTATTACTATTATTATTATTATATATATATATATTAAACTTTCTCCGTGGGAGAAAGAAAACTCACCGAGATCACAACTTCGCGGTGCCATGACCTCCTCGAAAGCCTTCTTTTTTTGTTCATACTCCGCTCTTCTCCTTGGGGCACCGCCGTCGGTCAGTTGTACCCCCATATACCCCTAAAATTTAGCGATGGATGACCCCATCCCCCTAAAGATATGTGTTTTTTTGGTATTGATCTATGGCAATAACATGCAATCACTATAATATCTACCGTTATCGTTTGCGTCTAGCGTCTTCGTTGGGGTTTGGTCCAACTCCATACATCACTGGCGCGCGCGGCACCCTGTGGCAAAAGCATGGTGCTGCAAGGCTGGAAGATTGGATGCCACTTTTGGGAAACCCATGCAGTTATGGCCATTTACCAGTTATAACTGGTTGTAAATGGGATTATACATTCTATAAATGGGGTTATAAGTACTTATAACTGATAAATGGCCACAACTGTGGAAAATACCCTTCAGAAACATGTCGAAAGCCCTGGTTTTGGTGATCCAAACTCCGGTGACAAGGTGCCGTTCGTTCAGCTTCTTGGTGCGGTACTTGGCATCTTCGTCTCCAAAGTACCTGGGGATTCTGCAACTGGCAACGAGGCGGCAGGACATGGTGCGTGCTATTTCTGAGATATTTTTTGGTAGGATTTGGAGTGATGCTTTTTGATTGTATCATATTGTATCTATAACTTGATTCGTATAATATATAATATAATATATATATAATACAATATATATATAATATATGTATCATATATAATATAGTATAATATATATATATAATATAATATAATATATATAATATAATATATATAATATAATATATATAATATATATAATATAATATAATATAATATATATAATGTATATAGAAATATAAATATATATAATATAATATATATATATATATTATATAATATATATATATATAATATATAATATATATATATATAATATATAATATAATATAATATATATAATGTATATAGAAATATAAATATATATAATATTATATATATATATATAATATAATATACTATATATATAATATGATATACTATTAACATATATATATACAGTATATAATATATTATATATACATAGACAGATTTTACAGAAAAAATGTATCATGTTCATGTTCATTCATTCCGTTTTGGTGTTGTTGAAAACTTTGTGGGGCCTCCAGTTATGTTTGTCAGTATTAGCCATCAGCCCATTATACTCTTGATGTCCATAGGTCAAACAGCCTTTGTAGTCATAAAACATAGTAAACTAACATAGCTATTGAAAATGGCCCAGTCGAAATAGTGAGTTTTCCCATGAAACATGGTGATTTTCCATAGTTTTTTGGTATGTTGACCAGGCCGGGTACCTTTTTCGGACCACACATTCGAAACAGCCACGGAATCCTGCCGAGAACCATGGATTTTTGTAGCCGAAAGTTCTGACGAAGTCGTCACGGCATTCACCAAGAAGGAAAAAAATCACTTCCGGGACAGAATATATGGGTATTTTACCTACAGTTATGGCCATGGCTACCAGTTATAACTGGTGATTTCTATGGGATTATACATTCTATAAATGGGGTTTTGTTAGTACTTATAACTGATAAATGGCCATAACTGTAGTGGCTGTGATGCAAATCATCACTGGGAAAAGCAACTGCATATATATATATATTTATATATATACTGGTTGATGGTGCCAACCTCTCTGAAAAATATGAAAGTCAAATGGGATTATTGTTCCAAATATATGAACATTTATATAAAATGCTCCAAACCACCAACCAGATATGGCTATTCCAATCAGTGGCTGTGATGCAAATCATCAGTCAACAAAGTATAACAAAGTCAGCCACATTTAAAAGTAAAGTTCTAGAACTAACATGGGGGTTTCCTAAAATCGTGCTACCCAAACATCTGGATGGTTTATAATGGAAAATAAATATATATATATATGGAACATTCGAAAAAAAATGGATGATTTGGAGGTACCTCCATTTTAGGAAATATTGAGGCCAGATTTGAGGCAGAATCACAGTGCACAAAGGCATCCCGAAGCTGCAAAGGTACCTGCCTACCACTGGATCATGCTGGATCCGTTTCCCCAAATCGAGGATTAAAATCCGATAACAACTGTAGCTGGAATGCCTATCAAGTTTAGGTACTCACTGAAGATTTCACATCTTCATATATATATATTACTATATATATATATATAAACCCTTATCAAACATTGTACATATATTCACTAATATTTATCACCATTATATTAACCATATATACATATATCACTGAATATCACCATATATTGGTGCCACGGATTTCGAATCACTGCAACACCCAACTGGCAGGATCCTCTTTATCCAAAGCTCATTTCATGTGGAAAATCCCCACAAAAAAATAGATTAATTTAGAATATGTCATCCCCACATAAATTTCGCAGAAAAATATAATATACGCCCAGTCATGACTGGTGGATCCGGTGGCCATTTCAGGTGCTTGATGGCCGGTTGGCCGGTCACAGCTGCGGCCAGTCACCAGGCCAGGTTTTTTCAGACCACCAGGGCTCTCGGAGGGCACTTGTCGTACTGTCGCTTTTCCAACTCATCCACCAACTTCTTCAGCATTCGCTCGATTTCTTTCCTGAGAGGTACACTATGAATCCCGCTGTTTTGCATAGGTACTATTTCTGAAAAGAAGTGTTTGGGGAATAGTTTAGGACCTTTCTTAAGTACCCTTCAAGGAAGTGTTGGGATCCAAAGGGTTATCAAGCATTGGTCAAGCATCAAAATTGGCCGGTTTGGGGGGCTTCCTTTAGATCTTTAGTGCGTTATAACATTCCCTACTGGACAGTCAGTTTCTAGGGATTTTCATCATCCAATGTTTGAGGCTCCCGCGAAATACTGCTAACGAGTAACTAGTACCCTACTTGCAATCAAACCTTGCAATGGATGCAATGGAAATCCTGGAACAATGATTAAACATTTGTTTAATGAAAATATCAAAATATCTATAGATGGGTGATGTTCCATCACCATATTTGATTCCCAATATCCCTTTGGAATTTCATTCGTTATGTCTAGTCCTCCAGAAACCAGGTAGGTCTCCAAGGACACGTGTGATGGCTTAGATGCTGAAGCCTGTGAGAGAAAACTGCTGGATAATTTGAATGAAATCAAACTTACATCCCATATGCTCCATGGTGCTGGAATATTTACCTACAAAACTGGGCCATTTTTGGGGTAAATGTCGGTAAATATTCTGGGGATCAAATTAGGCTATCTAAACAAAAAAAACACGGAATTTCATCAATGTTTGATAGCTTCACCTGAGGGTCTAGCTGTAGAAAGAGACCAAGGTTTCCCGCCTAAAAAATGTCATCATGTCACCATGTTGGTACATCCTTTGGGTTTCAGGACCATCAAAAAAGAGTTGATCGTTCTTGCAATGGATCACCTCCAGCTCCTTGTAATACTTCTTGGTAGTCCTTGTTTGGATATGTGTGACTTTGATTGCAATTCAATCTATCATTAAAACAGTACAATCAAAACATACTCAAACCGACTCAGACCCCCTCAATGATTTATTTCAAATGATTCCCACCCGTCGTGTCGATGTGCCATGGTCAAGCGCCATGGCGTTTTTTTGGGTCATCCCACTATTGGTCCAAAAATGGCCATTTTTGATTCAGATTCAATGGATGACCATCCCCCAACTTGTACAGTATCCAATGCAACACAAATTTGATTCGAGTTCTTCGATCTCCGATTCCCCAAGAATCTCCCAGCTCGATTCGGTCCCGGGCTGGTCCTGGAGAAGTTGAAGAAGATCGCAGGCATGATATCTCTGCTGTCCAGATCTTTGCACAGCTTGAACAAGGTGGCAGCCTGCTGGGCACCAGGCACAGGCACGGGCAGCGATGTTTCATCAAAACTAGAGGAGTTAAACGTGATAAATCCACTTTTAGCATAAACTACAACAGCACAACAGTATGTATAGATAATGTTGGATACAAAATAGATACTTATAATCATAAGTTGGATCGAACAGTTTGTTATAACTATATCTATAATTAACTATAGTTATCAGATGTTATCAGTTATATATCTAGATATGGAGGTTTTCTAAGTCATGGTGCCCTTAAACTGTCCTTTTATAGAAGCTTTTTCCATGAAATAAATCATCCAGCTGTGTACCCCCATCTCCTGGGATCAATGGCTTGGTGCAGAATATGGCTATGTCATGCCGACTGTCATGCTATGTTATGGCCATGGCTACCAGTTATAACTGGTGATTTCTATGGGATGAAATACATTCTATAAATGGGGTTATGTTATAAGTACTGTACTTATAACTGATAAATGGCCATAACTGCAAAAACACTCCGTTGCACTCCGTTGCACTCCGGTGTGTTTGACCATCGCTGGTTGCGCAACCACAGTCATCGCTCGCAGCGGCGCCTGAAGATACGATGTCCCCTTCTCCAATGTTCTGAGATCTATCTCGGGCGCCTCCGACAGGAGTGGAGCAAAATTCAAACAGCTGGGTTCATGAGCTCCATGGCTGGATAATATACCCTCTGGTAAACTAACGTAGCTACGGAAATCACTATTTTTAATGGGAAAATCCACTATAAATGGCAATTTTCAATAGCTATGTTAGTTTACCAGAGGGTACCATGTATTTCTAAATTTATAGATGATAATATTCTCAACTATAACCATAACCATCGATAGTAAATGTATAGATGATATTGCCAACTATACAGTTATGGCCATTTATCAGTTATAAGTACTGAACTAACCCCATTTATAGAATGTATAATCCCATAGAAATCACCAGTTATAACTGGTAGCCATGGCCATAACTGTAAGCATCATAGAGGATGATCGCCATGTTTGATTCCCAAGAGACCTTGCGACATCTGCAGCTTGGAGCCCTCGATAACTATGGGTCACTTTTTTTGTCTGGACAAAAAAACCATGGGGTGCCCGGTTGCCAGGTTGATATCTTCATATGGGTATGGATCAATACCTATGAAAATACCATTTTTAGGGGAATGAACATCCATAAATCCCAGCTATTTTGATGTGAACTACAGGGGTACTATTGGTTTTGACACACTGCCATATGTTTTTAAATCATCTTTGGATATGGCACAGAGACACGAACTTCACTTGAGAATGGCCCGCTTTGAAACACAATGGTTTCGTATGTTTAGGTAAAACACTCACTGCCTGCCGTTGAAGACAAAACTGATTGACCCATTCCTGTTCCATTTATCCGGGGCGACACATCATATACACCAGCAGTTGGTGTGTATGTTTGACTGTTTAATGTCAATAGAAAATGTGTAAGTCAGTCAATCGGGTTCCCACTATCGTTTAGGGATTGAACATCATACTAGGTATGTGTGAAACCACATATATGTATTCGTGTATATATATACCACCAGAAAGCAAAAGAAAACACAAAGTCATGATACCCCAGTTCTTCAATCCAACACTAGGATTGTAGTTATATATCAACTAACCTCTCAATAACTGAATTCCAATCCCCACGGTCAAAGTGTTCCTTCCCCATGTTCAATCTTGTAAGGCGGTGTCCACGAGGCATCTTTGTTGGTTTACAAAGCCCATTAACCAATTTATTGTACATATGTAAATATATATATTATATATATATACTGTAAACCATAGAAATTGCAGTTTACCAACTTAGCTATTGTTTCGGGACTCTACTTTGCATATAAAGCGACCATCATTTTTGGATGATTATCTATATATATATATATTAATCCATATTTAACCATATTGATTCATACTCATCCACACTCATCCACACTCATCCATAGCAATTCCCCTCGTTAAATGTCAACCACCGTCGCCTTCTCTTCCACCCGTGACGGTGGGTTGAAGCCTGGAAGATATTTGTTTGATGACGGCCTATCAGGAGAAATATGTAGATAGTACTGGCTGAAGTGTCATGAATTGTTGAATAAGTTGTTTATATTGTTATAATGAAAACATGTAGTGCAAAATATTAAGTAATATATATATATATACACTATATATACGTATTGATGATATATATATAAGATTGATATATATATATATATATAAATATATATATATGCATGGCTGAGTAAGTCACCATCCTCCAGTGAACCAACATCAACATGGTAAATAAATTGTCTCCATGGCCATCAACCAACCAGCAGGAAGTCGGGACGTGGGATATCTATGTGTTGGAATTGACCTCCCCCAAGTGACAAAACGTCAAAATCCAGCATATCTATGTCTATATATCACACAATAGATTTATAATTGATGTACATTATATATATAACTATCATATATATATAACTATCATATATATATAACTATCATATATATATATATAACTATCATATATATAGATAGGTCTACATATAAATAATCCCAATGTTTCGTGCTGAAATTCCCATCTTTGATGGCTGAAACTCTGTCAAGAAATCAGCCTGGAGGGCACGTCTGCCAATCGCCCGGGCTACCCGGCCCATCTCCAACTCGGGATTCTGTTGCAAGGAGAGCGTGAGCTGAGTAAAGCCCTGAATGTGACTTGTGAGGGACCGGAGATGACCGGAGTGGGCGAGGGGAGCCTTAAATGATGTCTAAGCTTCCAAAATTGGAATGTGGGGACTTTAAGATAGTTTAAGCATCAAGCATGGTGATTTCATCTAAAATTGGCACTTTAAACAGCAAACAAACACTGCGATTTAAACTTCCTTTGATTATGAAAAATTGGGGAAGGCTTATTGGCTCTCTCTCTTGGCCTGATGAAGGTGCCACAGCTTGGATCGTGGCAGTAGGCCAAGGGAGCTTCGCTCAAAGGGGACGGTGGTGGAAGAATGCCCCGAAAAACAAGGCCTGAGGGCCTGAGGGTATCTTTGGACAGGAATTCATCACCCTATGGATCCAAACACTGTCTGAGAAGGTACTTAAGCCTCAAAATTATAGTAAATTATACCCCAAAACACTTCCTAAGAAGGTACGGCTGGGTCCATAGGGTCAGAATAAATCGAACCATTCAGAACTGGGCAGGCACAAGGCCAAGACTCTTGGAAAGACAACCCAGAATGATCTCACTCCGGGATCAACCTTAAGGTATGCCATCGTTCAGCTGGAAATCAAACCATGACAACTGAAACTCCCAACTGAAAATCATCTATCAATGGAGGCTTTTCAGGGGAATCATCCATAAATCGGGAATTCTCCAGCCACCGGCAATTTGGAACGACCATGTACACCGCGTCAGGTGCTGATCCCGATGGCCATGGTCGGGACCTTTTTTTCTGGAATCCAGCCGTTTTTATCTCCGTAGATAGGTGTATATATAATTATATATCTATATATTACATAGATACCCTCCGGTAATCAAACATGGCAATTGACAATCGCCATTAAATATGATCATTTTATGGGACATATCTTGTATGATTCATGATGGATTTTCCAGTGCCATGCTTGATTCTTAGAAGGTAGTCTTCTGAACATTGGGAGTATTTTAGACAGCCCTAATATCATACACCAGATTTGGGATTGTCGGAAGATGTTGGGAAAAAAACGCTGTTAATATCATGGTGTAATGCTATGGTCGACAAGGCAACAACCCCGTGACAGATCTCATGACATCCCCAGAAAGCCCACACACCCCATTCTATTGGAATGCCCACCAATCAAACATTCAACCAGATGAAAACACCCTAAAACATATCAAAAAAAACATCTTAACATAAATCAAAGCATGTTATTCATATCGAGACAATATCAAACAATATTAACCTCAGCCAGAATGCCCAAAACACGTGGTGACATCGTCGCCCAACACTTCACATTGCCACAACAAAAATGCCTCGCTCTTCAAGCTGTTGTCCGTCAGCAGCTCTAGGAACGCTCCCTGCAAGGGGGATGTAAGGATGCAAACCTGGTGCCTTGCAGTGTTCTTGAACTTGTTTAGGACCCATAGAAAGGAACTAAGATATATATATATATATATGTATATGTATATATAGATATCGATATCGATATCTATTATAGATACAGATATAGATATCAATATATAATAATATAGATATAGATACATCGATCTGTTTTCCTTAAACATGCTGATGCAGTTGGGGTTACGTTTTACTGGTTGAGAACAGGATTCGAACAAAATCCCGCTATTGGTGAATCATTATCTCCAATCAACCAGGCTGTTGGTGAATTACCCAGGGACGAATATACCCTCTGGTAGTTTTACAGTTTGCTATCGAAAATGGCATATTGAGTGCGTTGATTTACCGCACTTAAAGATGGTGACTATCTATTATCTATAGCTTTTTGATGCTTTTTGTATGTTTACCAGAGGGCAAAGGGACATAACAGGACATAACAAACACATGACTCATCAGGACAAAAAAAAACCAATGAGGAAATCCCAGGAAACATGGTTCACTGGAAAAGTGTTGCTGAGCCATGCTGAAGGTGAATTGGGATGATATGAGCAACAATGGCTAACAATGGGAAAGGACATCGCACACGGTGTGATTGAAAAAAAAAACACATGATAATACCGAACAATTGTCATATTCCATAGGGTGTATTTCTTTGCAACGGATTAGAGTAAGCCACCAAAAAAAGAGAACAGTCGTGTGTATATTTATTTCCACGGCTAAATCGTAGAATGCCTATCTTTTAGGGGCTTTAAAATGATGTCCGTGTATGTATTTAAGTATTTAAGTGTACATATTATGATTGTGTACAATTACGTATATACATGTATACATATTGTACACACTAGATTGTGTGATGGTGTACAATGAATAATCATGTCCCATATGATACAAACAAGCATTGGGAATATGAATATAACCACAAGTTCTTGTGGGTGCCCCAAAACACATCCCAAGCGACCGGAAGTAAATGGTGTTCCTCTGGTTTCAACCAAGGGGAATATTCGCTATCACCATTAATAATTGTTAAAGCAACCATTTCTTTTGTGAAGCCCAACATATTGCCATATACGAGAAGAAAGTCTTTAGTAAAATCAAACGTGTCGTTTCGGGTTCTACGTTATATAAATCTCCGGAGAGTAGTCCGAAAATTCAGCAGTGAGGTTGGCCACCACTGGTGAATCCTTCCAGTGACGTCACGACATGAGGTCATTGTAATTCATCCAGACCCATATACCCATAGGATCCATGTATGCTATATATGGTAACATTTACCATCAATATACCCCCAATGTTAGCATATATACCAGCACCATGGATCCTATGGGATATAATAATCAACCATCATTTATCAGTTATATCCACTTCTATCCCATTTCATGGTAAAGCCCCCTTTTTAATCCACGAATCAATCAGCCACCCAAACTCCAACCTTCAGCTCCTTCTCATATTTTCTGGAATCAATCTTGGTGACAAACCTCTCCCCGCAATGGAAAGGCGAGGTGGTTACGGTGAAAAGCTCTGTGGTTTGTAAAGACATGCTGTGCAAACATGCTAAATTATGGACATAGACAGGGTTTGTCTGAAAATCGGGGATACCTAAAATGGTAACTTTACGCGTAACTTTAATGAGAACAGATTAGGTTCTCAGCCATCACCGGCCTTTCCCCTTATTATCTCAGATAGATAGTACTTGCCCCAGGTTTACCGGAGACATTGACGATATCCATCAGGTGGGGTAAGAAATGTCGATTACAGTATACTACGATATGGTTTCTTCAAGGAACCCAATAAACCCAGACCCACTCTCAATCTATCTGTAACAAAGGTCTTACAGTACTAAAGCTATGAGGTATGCGTAGTCTTTTTTGAAATCAGGAAAGTACTCAATTTCAATGGCTGGCTGGTTTGAATCCCCTCAAAAATTGTGGTCAGTTGGGATCATAAACTATTGCCAGGAAACCAAGCCACATCATTGTGGAAAAAAAAAACTTGGAATATCTACATGGAATACTTAAAATTACTCAAATACCCTTACGTGTTGATTGTTTTTCATCATGGAATCATGTTTGATTACCCCGATGTTGGTGAAATCTTCATCCCTGAAAATTCAGCCATGAAAAAGGGATGCTTCACCATATGTTGCCGAAGTCGGGGGTACCCTGATTTTTTTGATCATCCATTGGTCCATGGAAGAATTTGGCATAAGCCAACCATTTAAAGGTACCCCCGAGATAATCCATGTACTCAAAACGTCCAATCTTTCAAGAAGGTAAAACCCCGTGTTTCAGCTGAAACTTCTCTGAGCCCCCTGCGCCATGCCAGCGAAGTACTTGGCCGGCGCCAACCTGAAAGTTTACTGGGAGGAATGGCAATTGAATACCTATCAAAATTACATCGCCATCTATCAAAATGGCCATTTGAAAGTCGTTACCCCCGCCTTTGATAGATTCAAACTGATTCAAAGCCCAAAATCACTAAGTCACCAGATATGTTGTCCAAATAAGATCCTCATCCATCAAAAAAAACACCTCTCCCCAGTATGTGTGGCTCCTGTCCCACTTCGCATTGGGGCCCACGATCTTGGAGACCTCGGTGCTGGAGGGAATTTTCCATGGTACCCGGCCTGGTAAACATACAAAAAACGATGGAAAATCACCATTTTTAAAGGGAACACTATGGAACATCAGGATTTTTACTGGGCAAATCAACTATTTCGACTGGGCCATGTTCAATAGCTATTTTGACATAACCAGAGGGTAACATCACATTTCAATGAAGACTACAGTGGATTGTTCAGAAATTCTGCATCAGTTGATCGGCGATTTATACCATTATTCATAGGGTTTCAACCATCCAAGGTGGTGCAGGATTTATTCCATCTACAGTATGATAAAATATGATGATGAGGTAAATGAACTATCCTGGATAATCTTTGCTTTAATGATTTGAATGGGAAATATAAGAACTAATGGCAAATATTTCATGATGAAGTCAATACATTGGGATTTAAGCAACAATAACGGGATAGTGGATATGTAGTGGGAATATGAGGAATGGAACATATGGATGAACAATATTGAACTATCTTGCATCAATCACTTTTCTTTGCACATATTGATGATTGACAATCTATATTTTTTCTGTACATGGTCGTGTATATAATAGGGATATACTAGTGACATAATCAGGGTATAATGTGTCTGAACCTGGTGATGGGGTCTCAATGGGATTTTACTGGGAAGACAGAGTGAGATAATAAGAATATAATCATATAACCCATAGGATCCATGTATGGTATATATAATATATATATATACTAACATTGGGGGTATATTGATGGTAAATGTTACCATCTATAGCAGCATACATGGATCCGTCATGGGTAATAGTAAGATATGACCGGAATCTCGAGCTCATAGCCCCAAAAAAGGTCTTGGGTCAATCCAGTGGATCAACAGTACTCCCCGGATGCCCAAAGTCGGTCGAATTGGCATTGCCTCTATAGTGGAACTGCCTTCTTTGGGGGACCTGGCACTGGCATAGCTTTCTGATGCTTTCTGGGCAATCTTAGGTACTGGAACATGCATCTGTGGGGGATCCAGCCAAGATGGTTTTGCTTTAACTTTGGGGGGACTGGCATTTCCTTTTGCATGTCCAGAGTTCCAAACCCCATGGTTCGATGACCGACCTTAGCACGAATTCCATCCTCACTTTCATCTGAGAAGTGGCTCGAGTACGACTCTCGATTTCTTGATGATGACGAATCATGTGAACATTAAGCAAAAGCCTGATGCCTCCGAAGATTCAATCTGTTCGTCGTCAGTTTTGTTCTCTTCTTCTGACACTTTGTTTTGTTCCTGTTCAGAGGAAGATTGTACAGGGACAGGCTGTCCATCACCACGGCCGGCGCTCTTCGGCGGGGGCATGGTATCTACATGTATCTACAATAGACAGGTAAAAATACCCCAACCAAGTCAACATTTTCGAAAAGGGACACGGACAAAAATGCAAAACAGTCACCACAAGATCCTTTTCTCACCCACCACTTATGGGGGTTAGCTGAAGGGTAAACACCTGGAAGGTATCCCCTTGATCAGAGCAGGGGCGATCAATTCGTTTATGAAATAGGTATCCCACACTAATCAAGATAGGATCAGGAACCTAAAAAACCGAGGCATCACCAGGAAACTGGCTATTAAGCCTTTCCTGGATTTGGGAGATATTTCATGGGATGTATAACCAGCAATTTGATGTTTGGACCTTTTGATACAAAATTGGTGCAAGGTTGGGCCCCAAACAATAGCGAAGTGGGCTAATGATTTGTTTTTTACGTTTGGGTCTATAGGAATCTATATGAGATATATAACTATAGTTAATTGGCCCTACAAACCAACAAAATTAATTGTGACGGCATCCGACGGCCACCTATATGTATATATACATCTATGTAAACACATTTTTGTATGTACATATATAATCATATATATATATTATAATGTCGAGCTTATGACCTTAGATGTGTATGTTTAATGTATATTTCACAGATTTCACAGATTTCACAGACAGGCAACTGTTTGGGGCATTGCCGTATCTAAATTCAAAGAGTACAACCCATCCACTTCTGCTTGGAATAATTATGCGCTCATCGTTGCTGGCTTATCAGGTTTACACTTCCATTGTAGAACCAACCCATGCCGCATTTCTGTCTAACATCCCACTGTTTAATACTTCTTTGAGAAACTCCATTTTTTTCCCAGGTTCTGTTGATTTATCGCTTGTTCATATGGTGTTTTTTTATTCCTTCCCAGGACTTCTTGTCGGCCAAAACCTCTCAAATGAATAAATCCATCAAAAAAAACATAAATTGAACATCGCACTTTCAAACTGGATAGATACCCTCCTGTAATCAACCGAGGCACTTGAACATCCAACATTTGATTCGTATTTTTCCAATAAAAAATATCCGTTTATAGGGAATTTGGAATTGTCCCATATATTCCATGATTTCCTAGCTACAAAGCTCCATGTAGGTCGGACATGTTCCCAGCCCAGGATCAACTGAGACTCTGGCTTCCTGATGCAACTGCACCATCTCCTAAGTCAACTACAACTTCACCCTCGATTCCATATGCTTATGTGACAGGTTCCAACGAATGGAGGTTTAGCAAGCCTAATCTGACACTATCTGATGGGTTCTCAGCTATCTGGGTTTATCTCAGGTTGAATGAGGTTTAATAAGCCTAATCCATAAGGTCAAAAGGGTGAAGCTTAAATTGACCCCCGCAGATTTCCATCACGGTTTCATTGCATTGAATCGCCACTACTGTTGGCTGTTTTTTTTAACCACTACAGCACCGGTACCCAATAGTAACCTCGCAAACAACAACCTACCGCCACTATGTGAGGAGTTTACTTGTTGTTGCTGTACCATGGGATGGGTCACACGTCACTTCTTCTGCTGATTCGCAGCCCAGAAGCTCTAGGCACCAGAGTCAGGTCAGCAGACATGCCATTTCCTGGGCACGAAACAATCACTGGTTGGTGGTGCAATGTGCCCATCTTGAAAAATGATGGAGTTCGTCAATGGGAAGGATGACATCACATACAGTTATGGCCATTTATCAGTTATAAGTACTAACAAGTCACCCCATTTATAGAATGGTTGTTATCCCATAGAAATCAGCAGTTATAACTGGTAGCCATGGCCATAACTGCAGATCATTTTCATAGGGAAATCATGTGTGAACTTCCACATCTTTCTTGAAACCCTGGAGGGTTGCAACCCCGAACAAAGTTGGAAACAAGATGGACACCGTCCCATTGAGGGTTTTATATATATATATATATTATATACAGTTATGGCCATTTATTAGTTATAACTGGTTATAAATGGGATTATACATTCAATAAATGTTGATCCATAGCCATATTTCCACATCATCTCCATGGCTTCGCCGAGCTTTCCAAAACGGTTTCCCCTTAGGACACCCACGGCGTAAGGAGCTCTCCACCAGACAGCACAAGGGATGCAACGGCCTGGCGACCAAAATTCGACCAAAATGGGCCCTGAAACCAGCTGGGACCCTGGGTCGAACTAGGGGAATCCGAATCCTCAATATTTGAACATATGGGTATGAGTCAAAACCTTGGTACCCCGGTGAACATCAGGGTAGCTGGTTAATGGTATTAATAGGTATTGACCCATCCCCATATTTGAACTAGTTGGAAATGTAAGTTGTTTTTTGCTGGAAAAATAGGGGAAACATCACCTGGAACATCATCTATAATCTATAACTGGGGGTTTATAGCTGGGAAGCCCCTCCAGACATGACGGATTTCAGATGTTTTACTGGGATATGTTCCATGGTTTTTAGTGGGATATCACACATCAAGGTTTTTGGATCGCTACCTCAATGATACCCCAGCAGTTGGAGCCGGCCGAGATAGTCTTGAGCAGTGTTTAAAACTTTGAGTCAACTAACTACACCCCCAATCAGCTATAACACATGCGATATTATGCGTATATATATATATATGATATATGTATATATATATATATACATACAGTAATTATATATATATATATTATAAATAATAATAATAATAATCAGAATCATAATCATAAAAATAATCATAATAATCATGATAATAATCATAAACATAAAAAACAAAAAAAAACACAATATAATCAAATAATAATAATAATAAATACTAATAAATAATAATGATAATAATGATAATAATAATAATACAAATACAATAATAATAGTAATAATAGTAAAATAAAAAATAAATAATAAGAATATAATATATATATACATATGCCGAAGATTTGCCAAAGAGTTTTCGTAGATGGTCCCCATCTCCATGTTCCCTGAAACACTTCAAGGCAAAGAATTGCACCAAGCCCAGGCCGGCTAAAGACATGGCGTCTGAAAATGGTTCCCCAAGAGTGGCTATTTGGGTTTGTCTGAAAATAGTGTACCCCTACACCCAACGGTTAATGATCATTATCCCTACTAAATGGCTATAATTGGGGGTATACCCCATTTTCAGACATACCCATTTATCAACTATGGCAACTATGCCAACTATGGCAACTGTAGCAATTCCAGGCCAAATTCTTATCCAGTGCTTTGCTCCAGCATCTATCAACTGAAGCAGCGGCACCTCATCTCATCCTTGTGCCAAACATATTTGTAGAGGTCCTCCGGCGATTTTTATTGGTGACACCGATAGGTTAGCTAATAGCTACCATCACCACATGATGCTCCCCATCTTTGGATTGCAACTGTGTACCATTTCAACTGCTACCCA